CTCTTTCTAGAGTCTCAACATCTTTTTTACATCGTGGTGACCAAAACTGGATGCAGTATTCCAAGTGTGGCCTTACCAAGGCATTGTAAAGTGGTATTAACACTTCACGTGATCTTGATTCTATCCCTCTGTTAATGCAGCCTAGCACTGTGTTGGCTTTTTTGGCAGCTGCAGCACACTGCTGGCTCATATTTAAGTGGTTGTCCACTAGGACTCTGAGGTCCCTCTCACAATTACTGCTATTGAGCAAGGTACCTCCTGTATACCTGTACATTTGGTTTTTCTTGTCTAAATGTAGAACCTTACTTTTTCACCATTGAATTTCATTTTGTTAGATAGTGCCCAGTATATCTAGGCTAGTAAAAAGAAGGACTATGAGTGACATGAGAGAGGGGAGGGAAAGGAGGGGAGGGAAAGGAAAGGAAAGGGAAGGGAAGGGAAGGGAAGGGAAGGGAAGGAAAGGAAAGGAAAGGAAAGGAAAGGAAAAAGGAAAGGAAAGGAAAGATCTTATCCCTATCACTCAGTCCTTAGTGGAAATGGCATTACTGAAACACTTCAGTTGGCCAGTTGTGTCTTACATTCTCAGGCACACAAGCTCAATCTGAGTTGCTCTTCCAGGAATAGTTGTCCTCCATGTAGTCTGAAGCTCTAAGCAAGGCCAACTTGCCCTGCAAAGTAATACTGTCTATAAGGTCTTTTATCCTAGTCAAGTATTTCTTTTTATGAATAATCGTTTCGTCTCTTAACTGAACAGCAGATGGCAGGCAAGTCTCGCTGGTGACTTAGCTACTTCATTTTCTTTGCAAATTGCACAGAATTGCAATAAGAGAAACTGAGGTCTGGGGACATAAACACCTGTAGGCTTTTCTTTAAATTCTATGATCAATATAACTACAACAACACTCTTCAGAAGAACAGGGCAATTTCTCTAGCATTCACCAAGAGACGTTTCTAATCAATGCCGTTCTTCCTGCCATGAAAAAAGCAGCAGAGAAATGAGACAGTGATAGCCATTGATCACTGGCACCAATGTCCATTGACTTACCAACTTGCAAAGAAAAGATTATTGTTTATTTTTCTTGGTCATCTTCCATTCTCCTCCTGGTATTTTTAAATCTGTTTACTCAAGGGTGTAGTAATCCCAATCCTTCAGGAGATCAGCTACTTCCAACTGCAACTTCAGTTGTCTTTCCTTGGGTCCCTAATTAGTAAAGCAGAACATTTTTACAGAACAGTTAACTACTACATAGATATTAATAATGAAGTGTGAGGAGGAGGAGGAGGAGGAAGAAGAGGAAGATGAGGAAGATGAGGAAGAAGAGGAGGAGGAAAAGATTTTCAAAGATTTCTCAACATCGCCTGTATTGATAAATATTATAAACTTGTGTAGATTAGTAGATTGAACAGTTGTTTGATAATTTGGCAAGTGAGCATTACTTGAAGAACTTCATGTACTTGCTATGAGTACATGGCTAGGATAGCTTCAGCAGAGCATAGGCTGTTGACCTGAAGGAAGGAAAAGAAGAAATTTCCTCTTAATAATTTTCATTTCAGAAAACACATCAAGCAGGCACAGTAATTTGAGACCTCCAGATGAAATACATTCACGATCCCTTGGGATTCTCTCCTTCTTGGACTTTTTTCCCAGGTAAGAGAGTTAAACGGAGTTCTCCTTATGTTACAAATCCATTTCTTGAGCTAGATTCCCAGATAATTTGGGAATAAAACAAGAGAAATGGGTTTTTGCTTCTCGTTATATATTAGAAGCTGAACTTAGAAGTGCTTATCTTTGCTGGTTAAAAATGCTAGAGATGATGGGCAGTTTTTCACTAGTAATGGAAATTAATTTGAAAATGGTGTCATGCCATGTTTCAAGGAGCATCCAAATCAAATTGCATTCAAACCTGACTAATAAGGACCTTCTCACCCCTTTCTAGCCAGATGCTCCAGTTTCAGTGATTTATTTAATGGGAGTAAGTCTCTTAAAACATAAATTTACATGCACATGAACAATGGCACTATGGATTAAGATTTGGAACAACTGCAAACACCAAGGGACCCATTCATCTTCTGCCATAACTGTACCTTTGTCTATTAATTGTGTGTGAGATATCTAGCACACACAGCCAGGAGAAAGAAAGAACCATTACATATTTGTGCAATTTGGAGCATGATGAACATTTTTATGCTGTTGTAGGCTTCAAAGAATAAAGCAGTTATTTAAAATGACTAAGATTGCCCCCCCTCCTCCTCCTCGTCTTTTATAAGTTTCTTTCAGTACTTATACTACAGCTTCCATATGTTTCTAACTCAAAATTGGGGAAACTGGCACCAATTTTCAATAATTATATTGCTAACATTCAACCGTAATGACCAAGGAGTGATATGGGAACCACACAAATGGATAAGGGACTATTGTTTCCTCTCTCTTGTTTTAACACTATTTGAAATCCCACCCCACCTTTCAGCTGCTGTTTGACTAAAGGGGGAAAATATGCAGGTTGTCTACAGCTATTTGTTGACAACCAGTTTTGTCTAGGGGACACATTAGGTTAGAAACTTACCCTAAAGGGTAAGTTATCCATACTATTGCATTGTGCCGATTTGACCAAAAAGGGAATCGTTAAGTTT